TCGTGACAAGACGTTTCATTCAGAAAGATCAGGAAAGGGGGTTAAGAAGAGTTATTACATCCTAACAGCCTCCTCCTGCTCACTATTCTGTTTGTTGTCAAAACAGACAGTTGGTTAAATATGTTAGCCACACCCAATTCCTAAGATATAGAAATGAATGATTACAAGGGAAAACTATTTTTTTATTAATGATTTGCACAGATTAATTCACCCCATACTGGCAATTTGAGCTAACAATAACAATATGGTTAGTTTAGATTTCTTGGGGACTTTAAAGGTACAAAAGGGTACTAATGTCCACCTGTAAGGTGCAAAATTTTACCACAATGAAGATGTTTTTTTTCTATTTGAATGCTCTATTTTTACATAGTTTTCCTACGTAAACAAGTGCTTGAGAGATGTCTGTGACTTGACAGATGTGCTTTTTCAGTACCTCACACATTGTATTTTTAAGACAACTTGTCAAATATTACAGGCAGCACAGCTCATCAATGTCAGTTCCAAAGCAGTGGACCAATCAGAAGATCTCGAAGGCAGGGCAAGCATTGCAAGCTTTAGTTTACAGTAGCAAACTGACATGACGACTGTTTGATTTGACGTTAACATGATTTCTAAAAATCATTCCTGAGAACTGTATCTTGCGTCTCTGGTGTGCATTATTTTCTGATTCAATTCAATGGTTCAAATATTCTTTACTTAACAGTGTTGTTGCCTAAAGTAAGAACAGCCTTAACTTCAAGAGTGCTCTCGCAAGGTTTTGGAACAGAGTTTTACAAAGAACTCTACAGACTAAATCCTTTTTTTGGGGACCGTAAAACATCAATCATGACACTTGCCTTCGAAGGTTTTAACACCAAATAACCATTTTACTAATATGGTTAGATTCACATTTGCTTTATTTTCAAAATGTTGAGATGAAAATCAGTCAAATATGGGGTAGCAGCTGGGGTGCCAGAAAAAAGTAAAATAATGGCTGTTAAATTACAGAAATTTACCGTAAAATAAGAGCCATTAAATTACAGAAATTTACCATAGAATAATGGACGTTAAATTATAGTAATTTCCTTAAACTTTTGGTAAATTTCTGTAATTTAACGCCTGTTATGAATCTTATCCCCTGCTATTTTTACGCTAAATTTCTGTAATTAAATGCTTGTTATTTTACAGTGAATTACTGTAAATTAACACCTGTTATTTTACAGTAAATTTCTGTAATTTAACACTGGTGTTTTACAGTAAAGTTCTGTAATTTATCACCTGTTGTTTCACAGTAAATTTCTGTAATTTAACTCCTACTGTTTACAGTAAATTTTTGTAATTTAATGCCTGTTATTTTTTTACAGTAAATTTCCGTAATTTAACGCTGTTGTTTTACGGTTAAGTTCTGTAATTTATCGCCTGTTGTTTTACAGTAAATTTCTGTTATTTAATGCCAGTTTTTTTTTTAGGTGAATTTCTGTAATTTAATGCCTGTTGTTATTTTTTTTAATGGTAAATTTCTATAATTTAACGCTGTTATTTTACGCTAAATTTCCATATTTTAACACCTATTATTTTACGGGTAATTTCTGTAATTTAACGCCTGTTGTTTTACAGTAAGTTTCTGTAATTTAACTGTTATTTTTTATGGTAAACTTCTGTAATTTAACAGCTGTTATTTTACGGTAAGTTTCTGTAATTTAACGGCTGTTATTTTTTATGGTAAACTTCTGTAATTTAACGCCTGTTATTTTAGGGTAAGTTTCTGTAATTTAACGGCTGTTATTTTTTATGGTAAACTTCTGTAATTTAACGCCTGTTATTTTAGGGTAAGTTTCTGTAATTTAACGGCTGTTATATTTTATGGTAAACTTCTGTAATTTAACGGCTGTTGTTTTACGGTAAGTTTCTGTAATTTAACGGTTGTTATTTTTTATGGTAAACTTGTGTAATTTAACAGCTGTTATTTTACGGTAAGTTTCTGTAATTTAACGGCTGTTATTTTTTATGGTAAACTTCTGTAATTTAACGCCTGTTATTTTAGGGTAAGTTTCTGTAATTTAACGGCTGTTATTTTTTATGGTAAACTTCTGTAATTTAACGCCTGTTATTTTAGGGTAAGTTTCTGTAATTTAACGGCTGTTATATTTTATGGTAAACTTCTGTAATTTAACGGCTGTTGTTTTACGGTAAGTTTCTGTAATTTAACGGTTGTTATTTTTTATGGTAAACTTGTGTAATTTAACAGCTGTTATTTTACGGTAAGTTTCTGTAATTTAACGGCTGTTATTTTTTATGGTAAACTTCTGTAATTTAACGCCTGTTATTTTAGGGTAAGTTTCTGTAATTTAACGGCTATTATTTTTTATGGTAAACTTCTGTAATTTAATGCCTGTTATTTTAGGGTAAGTTTCTGTAATTTAACGGCTGTTATATTTTATGGTAAACTTCTGTAATTTAACGCCTGTTATTTTAGGGTAAGTTTCTGTAATTTAACGGCTGTTATATTTTATGGTAAACTTCTGTAATTTAACGCCTGTTATTTTAGGGTAAGTTTCTGTAATTTAACGGCTGTTATATTTTATGGTAAACTTCTGTAATTTAACGGCTGTTGTTTTACGGTAAGTTTCTGTAATTTAACGGTTGTTATTTTTTATGGTAAACTTGTGTAATTTAACGGCTGTTATTTTACGGTAAGTTTCTGTAATTTAACGGCTGTTATTTTTTATGGTAAACTTCTGTAATTTAACGGCTGTTATTTTACTTTTTTCTGGTGCTCCAGCTTTTTTTATATAGTTTATATGAAAACATGACGCGGTTTAGAAAATAAGAATTAATAAAAAAAAATGGCACTTTTGGTAAACAACTGGAAAAACAATAAAGAACGCCTGTGCTTTTTTCTATACAATGATAAATATGTATAGTTGTGTAAGTGTACTGCTGTATGTCTTAACCACTAACAAACTTATATATAATTCTCACATTTTAGGTTTAACGTTTGCAATCAACAGGAAAAGTGCATGTGATAACAACATCAATACCCCAGAAACAATACAGTGATGTGCCTCATTGAAGACTGAGATTCATCATCATGGATTGAGGCCTGTTCCATTCATTCCAGCCAAGGAAAGTCAATTTGGTTCAATTCAGAATTCAGTTTTGACCCGGTAGATCTTTACATGGCATTCCTTCTATTCGTCTCTTTAATCAAATCTCAATTCAACCTCCTGATACTGCACGGAAATAAATCGGATTCACAGAGAGGGAGTCATTTAGGCTGAACGTTTCCTTGTGATTTGGCTTTGGTGACTGACTGTCATAAATAAGTGTAATATCTTAATTCCCTTTGGTGGGGTTCATAAAGAAGGGAAAGGAAGAAACAGAAAGATGTAGTGAGGTCTGCCAAACCTATTTCCAGTGCTTGGGATAAAGTAAACGCAACACTATTTTTAAAACCGCACAAAACCCAGAGTGAAGACAAACATGCAAAATCGTGTGCTCTCCGTCTTGCTGAGCATTTTCACACTTAGCCCTTAAGGCAATGTTTTATTTTTGGTAGCCAAGCGGGCCGACTGTCTCAGGAAGTAGCCTGAATAGTCTGAATTCCATTTGTTGTTTTTTTATATCTGCAGCAATGTTTACTTTTCAAGACATTTTTTTTAGACATCAGCAGAAATTGGTGGAAAAGACAGAACAGCTCAACAAAACTCAACGACCTATCAACATTTTTGTTATTTACTAAACATCTGAAATTAAACCACAATTTTTTAAATCTGCATCTTGGAATTTTGCTTGCCACTAGGGGCACCAGTCAGCATTACAAAAATAAAGATTTTATTTTCCAAATCCTACATTCCCCTCCATCTGCCATTGGTCAGAGAAAAAGGATGTCCCGCTACCATATTTATAGAAATGGTAAAGCCAGTGTTTTAAGTTTTGGAAAGTCACCACACAAATGTAGGACAGTGTTCTCTGCATATCGACTTAGGAAGAAAGAATTACACAGAGCAGCTTTAACAACCTAAAAAAACGGTTTGCATAATGTTTCATACGCCAGACGAGATGCACAGTGTCACATTGTTTCAACTGGAACACATTGTTTTTAATAGTCTAAGACACAGATACAACTCAGGAGGATGTTTAAAGGGGTCATGTGATCTTTTGACAGTATGTAACATACAGTAATCTCTAGTGTTCTCTGAACGTGTCTGTGAAGTTTAAGCTTAAAATATTCTACAAATCATTTATTTTAGCCTGTAAAATTTACTGCTTTTTCGGTGTGAGTTCCATTAAAATTTGTGTGTATCATTACATGCAAATGACCTGCTGTTCCACTTTTAGAAGTGGCAAATTAGGAAGTCATGATTCCATGACTGTAATAATGTATGAAATTGATTTTTTTTCTAAAATATATTGTGCTGGAAAATCACCTTTTTTAATTTTTATTTATTTATTTAATTAAAAGAGCAGTTTATTTTTAATTCATTCATTTTCTTTTTAGCTTATTCGCTTTATTAATCTGGGGTTGCCACAGTGGAATGAACCACCAACTTATCCAGCATATGTTTTACACAGCGGATGCCCTTCCAGCTGCAACTCATCACTGGGAAACATCCATACACACTCATTCACACACATGCACTATGGATAATTTAGCTTACCCAATTTGCCTATACCTCATATCTTTGGACCTGTGGGAGAAACTCGGAGGAAACCAACACTAACACAGAGAGAGTATGCAAACTCCACACAGAAACACCAACAGATCCAGCCGGGGCTCGAACCAGCGACCTTCTTGCTGTGCTACCCACTTATTTCGGTTAGAATAAAAGCAGTTTTTAATTTTTTAACCACAATTTTAATGTCAAAATTTTTAGCCTCTTTAACCTGCCTAGTTAAATTTATTAACCTATTTAGGCCTTTAAATGTCACTTTAAGCTCTATAGAAGTGTTTTGAAAAATATTTAGCAAAATATAATGTACTGTCATCATGGCAAAGATTAAATAAATCAGTTATTAGAGATGAGTTATTAAAACTATTATGTTTAGAAATGTGTTAAAAATCTTCTCCATTAAACAGAAAATGGGGGAAAAATAAATGGGGGCTAATAATTCAGGGGCTTCAATAATTATGATTGCAAATGTGAGGGAGAATTGGATCAGGTTGTTTTAGGCTGGTATGAATCAGCCTTCTCTTAATAAATCAATTTGTGGGTCAATTTGAGCTTTGTAACTTTGCAGATCTTACAATTACAGTACACCAACAGCTGCATAACAAACTGAAGAAAATCACAATATGACCCCTTTAAAATCTTCCCACACCACTCACAAAGCGCTCCATTTAATGACATTATCTTTGTCCCAATTCAGTGTTGACATACATAGCATGATTGGTGATTAGATTATCTGCTTTGGACATCTGTCTTGAAATGTTTGTGACAAATCTAGCAACAACACCAGGCTTCCCGACTTGTTTGCATCTACTTTCTCTTAACTCGACAAAAATGTCTAGTAACAGATGGGTATCATCTATTAAAATGCAGTGAAAGTGCATACAAACTGATCAACAGACAAAAAAAAACAGTTTGCTTTGAACCACCAAATTGTCTTCCCCAATGGATGGTTTGTGAAACGACCTCTTCTTCTCTGTTACACGCACAGCCATACACCATTTATCTGACAGACTCTTTCCTGAGGTTTTATCTATCTCTCCCACCCTCACACTCACACACATGGATTCTTTAAACAACCAGGATGCGTCAGTTCTCCTGTTGAAAAGGGGGAATGGGATTTACAATTAAAGCTCACCACATGAATAACCAATACAAGGCCACAAACACACACACACACACACACAATGTACACCATGGCAATATGGTCAACCATAGCTACTGTCCAACCACCACATCTGTTTCCGCGACTTCTTGTCTCCATGGCAGCCACCACACATCCGTTAGTCATATAAATTCCCTTGATGTACTTTCCTATCTGTCGGAATGGAGGAGTGAACCCTTTCCCACTCAAGATATATGCGTCCGCCATTGAGGATATGCTGGTCTGTCTGTTCCATCAGGGGTCACTGTCTCGCATTGACCTGTTAGGCTTGGCTAGAAGGGGCATAAACATCATTGTCATCTTTGCAGAAGGGAGAAACTAAACTCCTCCTGTTGACCCGACAGACCAGAATTCCCCCGGTGCATCTATATTTGAGGCCCCAGCATTGAACCCTGACACTATGGCTTTGAGCAAGTTTCTCCTCTCTACCTCCGGTCCACCGGAGGGAGCACTCACACTTCATCAACTCAAGCACTGCTTGCTGAGGGCGAGCCCGGTCGCTCAGGGTGTGTTTGTGTCGAGGCAGAGATGTTGGTGAGGAGTGACGACAGGAGTCGAGGTAGATGGGAAGTGTTGTCCAGACGTGCCACTGCTTCTTCCGCTCATGGCTGCGGTGAGAGTCTCCAGGCTTCTTAAAGAGTCTCCGTGATTGGCTGGCTTGAAGGATGAAGATGTCACATCTGCTGATTGGCTGAACCCATTTTGCTTGTCCACCGTGTCATCTCCTGGAGGTCTGTAGAGAGGGCTGCCTTCAGACCTAGAGTCCGAATTGGAGTTCCCGCCAAAATCAAACTCCTCAAACACTCCGATCTCACCTTGAGATGATGGGTAATATGACTTGGAAAGGTTGGTAGCACTTGGGGCATCACTTTCAGAGACAGTACCACCCAGATTGGTGGTGGGATATGAGTATCCCACAGCTGGAAGAGGGTTAGGTGGAGTTACACCTGTGGGCAGGTATGCTGGAGGAGGACTGTAGCCTGCAGGAAGAACAGCTTGTGAGGGGTAACGGGGATTCGGATAGCTGTACGCAGACAGATTTGGTGAGCTGTTAGCACTGTAGGCTGAGACTAGGCTAGGATGGGAAGGTGTAGGGTGGAATAGGGGACCCCCGTAAGGCCCTACAGGCTGGAGGAAGGGAGCGCTATAGGGAGTGCTGCTGTATTCCTGATTGCCTGTCTGACTGTTACAAGTACTGCTTGAAAAACAAGGTTCCGGAAGACTCCCGTTGCCTAAAACCGGAGAGTTGCACGCGCTGACGGACACATCCGACACACTCAGCGGCGCTTTAGGAAGAAGTTCAGGTATGCAAGCTAAAGGAGGATAGACACCCTCCAGCCAAGGTTCAGCCTCCAGCTTTCGTCCATTAAGAAGGGGGGACCCGTTATTCACAACACCAGGTCCCCTTACGCTAACAGAGATGGCCGTGTCAGGATATCCCATAAGTCCACTCTCACAAGGTAGATCCAGAATAGCAGAATATCTCTCTGCATACCTCTTGAGCAGGTTAGAAGCGGTCAGAGCTGAAATGTCATCATTTGCCCATGAATGCTGGTACGCTGCGGCTGAGGTCGAACCGGTTAGCCTCGGATCCCGAAGCGCTTCGATCTTATGCCCTGGTGAACGAGTGGTGGAGGTGATGTCATAGTGTTGCTCCGCCCACTGGGACTGCTCAGGGCTCCACTGCATGGTCACGCCTACAAGCAAAAGAGTACACTTTGGGTCAGTTCAAACATATGGAAGTTTATAGAAAATTAGGAAGTGTAAATCACAATGACAGCTTCAGCTTCACAAACTTGCTGATCAATATGCATACATGCTGTAATATTTATGTAACAAAAAAGACTCTAATTATCCTTATTATTCTAACTTTTTTCAGGGCAATTTGAATTGAGTGTGCTGCAAAAACACAGCAGAGAGAAAATTTGAGCAATTTAGGTTAATTAGCATTATTAGAAAATTACAGCAGTTCCAGATAATGACCAATTTTGCATAATCATCTTGTCAAAAAAAAAACATTAGGATAAAAATAATTTCACAAAAGTGAATAATATTATAAAATATTGAAAGACAAAAGCAAGTACAGTCTCCTTTTTTAAAGCAGCCATTGGATCCGTTTTGCGATCTTCAGATTGACAGTGAAATTCAGCTACATGTGTACTGGTAGATCTGGATTCACCCCCACACACGCATCAAGAATAGCTATGATGATATCATTAAGGTCTGATACTGAGATACACCAGAAGGCTTCATCTCAAGTGAATAAAATAAAAGCTCTTTAATGTAATCAAGGAACCTCATATTACACCCTCTCCGTCTCTTTCTCAGTTTCATTGACTCACGCACGTCGTACGGGAACATAATATTTCAGCATACTGTAATAATGACTGATCAATAATGCAGCTCTCGGCATTAGCAACTGAACCCGACAACAGATGTTACCCCTAAAAATACTGTATCTGCTTCGCTCATAAAGCACGCGACTTAAGATTTTAGTTTATGAAACAAAGAGCTTCTCTTCTGCATTGAACTTTGGCATATGGCAGTAGAGAGAGAGAGAGATTGAGGGGAGAGAATGGATAAAGAAAAGAAAGAAAGAAAGAGACAGAAGTTGTCCCTAGCTATAAAATATTACACATAAAGCACTTCTAAGATGAAGTAACACTGAATTTCCTCTGACCTTGCTATAGTACAATAGATTAGCAAAGCCTTGTGCATCAGAAACAATCCGATGTTTTGTTGAAGCCAAATAAAATACAGAAACAGACACACAATCTTTATTACAGCAGATGGATATTGATTTTGGCCTGATGGAGCCGAATTTACATGTTCTATCCATCTCAATTAAAAACTGCCCAATTACATTCAATTCTATCAAGCAGCAAATCCTCCTGATCGATACATGCAACTTGAGGTCAGTCAGCGTGCTCTCATGGGAAAACACTGCAAACACACACACACAAACTGGCGCCGTTCCCCTGGAAAGACTTTAACTGACATAAATTAAGCTTTGAAAGTCACTCATCACACCCGTTACATGAGTAATCGCTTTAACTGTGCAGAACTAAAGTTGTCCTGTTTAGCAGACACTAAAACCAAAGCAACTTACAATACAGCGTACAAATCACACTAATGGCAATTAGCTGGACAGGTGGCTGAGAAATGATATGATAAAAGAAGAAGAGCATAATAAAATAAAATGACGGATGATCAAAAGCAATATCAATAACGCATCTGAAAAGATGTCTTTTAACAGCTTTCTAATTACTTGTTTTATTTTAACGGTTGAGGTTAGCACGTTATAATAGTCGTCGTTAATTCCGCATTTAATTCTCGGCTTTATGTTCACCTATAAAAGCAGATACACAAGAAAATGCTAAATCTGCAAAAGTAGTTGGCAGCAGGCCACATTAACTGAGGTATCATTCATGTCTGTGGCAGAAATGAAAATAAATGTTAATTAACTATTAATTTACTCACTCTCAGAACATGCAAGATGTATCAATAAACATTTTTCAGCTGAAACCATTGTTCTATGATTTAATGGAATCAGTATCAAATCAATACAGAGATGGCCAGCTTTTGACACAGCATTTGCCCCAAACTAAATAGACACTAAAGTCTTGAAGTTTGGAATTAGCAAGGACTTACAGCATACTGCACTTTTCTACATAATGGAAGTGTTAAGGATTTTTAAACTTTCAAGAATGAAAATTCACTGAGTGATCATGACTTTCATAGATACAGTTGAAACCAGATGTTTGCATACACCAAATAAAAAGACACATAACCATTTTTAAAAAAGTCAGATTTTAATGCGACTAAACTTTTTCTCTTTTAGGTAAGTTAGGATCATCAATTTTTTTTGTTATGGTTAATAGCAGAATAATGAGAGAGATATTTTGTGAGAAATTGTAATGACTTTTCTTGAAAGTTAAGTTTACATACAATAAGATTATTATGCCTCTGAAAAAGCTCAGATGATGGTGTCGAGGTTTTGGAAGTTTCTGATTGGCTAATTGACAACATTTGAGTTAATTGGAGGCACAACTGTAGGATAGTATTTAAGGAAAACCTCAAACACACTGCCTCCTTGTGTGACAACATGGGAAAATTAACAAGCCAGAATCAACAAAAAAGCCAGATTACAATTTGCTAAAGTACACTGAGAAAAAGAATAATTGTTGGTGACGTGTTCTGTGGTCTGATGGAACTAAGATTGAACTGTTTGGCCATAATGACCAGTGTTACATTTGGAGGACAATGGGGAAAGCTTACAAGCCTAGGAACACCATCCCAACTGTGAAGTATGGGGGCGGCAGCATCATGTTGTGGGGCTGTTTTGCTGCAGGAGGGACTGGTCCACTTCACAGCATAGATGGCATCATGAAGAAAGAACATTATGTAGAAATACTGAAGTAACATCTCAAGACATCAGCCAGGAATTAAAACTTGGCCACAAATGGGTCTTCCAAACAGACCATGACCCTAAGCATACTGCCGAATTAGTTAAAATGTGCTTTAAGGACAAAAGAGTGAATGTTTTGGAGTGGCCATCACAAAGCCCTGATATCAGTCCTATAGAAAATTTGTGGGCAGAGTTGAAAAAGCTTGCACAAGCGAGACAGTCAATAAATCTGACTCAATTACACCAATTCTGTCAGGAGGAATGGGCCAAAATTCCTTCAAACTATCGTGAGAAGCTTGTGGAAGGATACTCAAAACATTTGACTAAAGTTATACAGTTTAAAAGCGAAAAAAATACCCAGGAAATTTATGTAAGCTTTTGACTGTCTAGAAATTAATAAAAAATTCTTTAAAAATTCTCTCATTATTCTGGCAATTAGCAAAAGTAAATCATTTAGGTAATCATTTCGAACCTAAAATAGTAAATGTTTAGCATGATTTACCATCAGACATTTTTTCAAAAATGGTAATGTTTAGTGTGTATGTAAACTTCTGGTTTCAACTGTATTTACAGATAAAACACAAAATTAAAAACATTAGAAACGAAAGAAAAACATATTACAATACAATAAATACAGTATCTTCTTACGATATTTATCTTAGCTTATAAAGGAGCCAACATGACCAAAATAATTAGAAAATTATATAAAAGTCTACAAGATGATAAATTGGCTCAAAATCACCAAAAACAATACTTTTGAATGCAAAAGTTCATTCATTCATTTTCTTTTCATCTTATTCCCTTTATTAATCTTGGGTTGCCACAGCGGAATGAACCTCAAACTTATGCAGCATATGTTTTTATGCAGCGGATGCCCTTCCAGCTGCAAGCCAGAACTGGGAAACACCCATACACTCTCGCATTCATACACTACAGACAGTTTTGTTTACCCAATTCACTTATAGTGCATGTCTTTGGATTGTGGTAGAAACCAGAGCACCTGGGGGAAACACACGCGAACACAGGGAGAACTTGTAAACTCCATACAGAAATGCCAACTGGGCCAGCGGGCACTCGAACCTGTGACTTTCTTGCTGTGAGGTGACTGAGCCACCGAGCCGCCAATTATAATATATTGTAATTAAAAACATGTTCTAATTTAATATATAGTACAATCTCCATAAACCCACTCAGTTTTACTTTAAAAATGACCATTATTGATATGAATGAGCCTTCACATGCAAAAATAAATTTTAATTCCTAACCCAGAGAATGAACAATGCCAAGCAGCAGCAATTATGACTAGACTAGACTGTAAAACAAGCATAGAGGATGAATATGTCGTCTAAAATGAAGCCCCAATTACAAACCACATCAGTCAGACCTCTTGAGATAAGTGCAGAAATTCCCCAAACAGCGCATGAAGGGTTCTTCATAAGAATTACACACTAACTTCAACTGGCCTACAAGAGGAAGATAAAGTACTGTTCATTATGGAGAGAGGGATTTATTTCTCTGGCTGGATTTGCCTGTGTTACATGAGTCTGAAGGTAAAAGTGATGTGAAGATATTAGCTGTGGTTTGCTGGAATGATCTCTTAAATGTTCTTCTATCCTACAAAACTACCAGGACAATCCCATTAGCTGCTGATCTACTGTGTGTACTTTTGTTTGTGTAAAAGAGTGTGTGTTGCTGCTTCAGAGAATGACTTTCTGTTGTTCCAATATACCCACTGGCTACAAATCCTCCGGCCAATCTCACATACACACATAAATACACACAGACACACACATACATAAATAAACACACACACACACACAATTTAAAGGCAGATGTTTCATTAACTGGTTTCAGAAGCAGGCGTCTTTACTTCATCGACTGAAACTTTGTCAGTGGAGCTTCTATTTACACAATGCTTACTATGTGTGTATTTATGCATGTGCGCAAACGCATATAGACCCCTATTTAAAACCAGAAGCACATCGACTGACAGATACACTCACTTTTCCTAAGTGAAATCTCAGGTTTCGCTGTCAGCAAAATCAATACATCACGCAGTCTCAGTCACACACACACACACACACACTGCATCCATAAAATGCTTTTATTGAGTAATTAAACAACCATTACTGTCGCCGACAGCAAAACAGTAAAACGGATAAAGCTCTTCAAAGAAAGATATAGACAAAAATACTTACGCACAAACTTATCCAGACTACTGATCTCAGTAAGTGACGAGTATTTCAAATTAATTTGTATATTAATTACAAATATAAGAGAAAGACCCAA